TATCTTTGGACCCGAAAAACATTACTTTAACTCTAAGCATAAAATCTAAATAAGCAAACCAGTTTTGGAAGGTGAAAATCCCAAAATTATTTTCGGGGAAAAGAGACAGGCTCAGACCTGTGCTGTAACAAAACTGACAGTGCCGGGAGGGGCTGCCAGTTCTGAGAGGCGGTTGCCCCAGCCTGGGCAGTGAAGGATGGAGGTGGTCTGGGGATGTGTGTGGTCACTGGGTGCTCAGAGCATGGACAATGACAGGCTGTGGGACCAAGGAGGAGTCAAAGGCTGTTGAGGCTTGGAGCCTGGAGCCTGGTGGCATGGGGCCTTGCTAATGGGAAATGGAAGTCTGATGAGGGACAGCCACCGATGCCCTCAATGGATGAGCTGCTCTTGGGCACAGGTGGGGCTCACGCAGATGGCCTACAGGCTCTGTGACACGTACCACTGGTGAGAGACTCCACGGCAGGATGAGTGGGTGTGGAGTCAGGAGAAGGCGTCTTTTACACCTGTGGTAGTGGGTGGGGCCAGGGGCTGCAGAGAGATTGGCAGGAAGAGGCAGAGGAGACACTCTGAAGGGGAAATGGGGCCCCAAGTGGGAGGCCTGGGCAGAAGTGTGCACTGAGGCCAGATGACTGAGGGGGAGAATGAGATGCCCATGAGCAGCAAGGGCTGTGCTGGAGATGGGAGGAGCTGGGGTTGAGGATCAGGAAAGGATGAACCCCAGAGAGAAACTGAACTAAGGAGTGGAGGGAGCTGGGGAGACATGGACCAGAAGGGAACGAAGCATTGAAGGCATGAGAAAGGTATAAACGGTGACAGTTTCCATGAGTGTGTTTCTGCAGATCGCGGTTTCATTACCAACTGAATGTGATGGTGTGGGACTTGGAGCGGCTCTAGGACTCACTAGAAATCATGGAATCGAGATGGTTGAGGGCACAACCCATCTGTCAGGCCAGGCTCCCCTCAGTGCTGAACTGTCAGACAAGCCACACGAAACATGCTGTTGCAGAATAGGTTCCATCCTGCCTGTTTATCTACCACAAGATCCACTTTTTTCTGCTCTTTTTTTTTTTCCTTTTTGTCTTTTCTTCGTGTCCGGCAACGGATCGCAACCCTCAGTGTCGCGCCCGTACCAGACCGGGACCGGCAATGGGATCGCAACCCTCGGTGCTGCGCCCGCACCTCGCTCAGCCAGTGAGCGGGAACTGGTCTGTACCTGGGATCCGAACCCTCGGAGGGAGCGCCGCCGCACTCCCAAGTGGCGCACTGTAGCAGTGCGCCACCGGGCTGGCCCATGCTTGCTCTTTCCATAGCAGTCTAAAACGCTCTAAAACAGGAGTTGGCAAACTAGGCATTACAGCATGCCTGCCATCTGTTTTTATAAATAAAGTTTTATTGGCACACAGCTGTGCCTGATTGCATATTGTCCATGGTGGCTCTTGTGCTACAACAGCCACATGGCCCACAGAGCCGAAGACAGTGGCTCTGTGGCCTTTTACAGAAAGACTTGCTGACCTGCTCTAAAATTACTAAGCTCAAGCTGCAAGAACGTCCCAGCAGGGAGGACGGGCACAGCAGGGACATCCCAGTCTTAAGCCGGCAGTTTTTGTCAACATCACCATCCTCAACATGTTCATGGTATTTTCAGACTGTTTATGTAAGTGTTTGAAAACTAGCAATGGAGACTATAAAAGAATTCTCTAATAGTTTCGATGATTACACATAGATAAATTAGGGTAATTTATTACAACAGTGGCTATTCAAACCCTCTGAATAAATTCTCTAATAAAGCAGAATCTAGACTTGAAACGTGCTGCTGCCAGGCTCCAGCTAATCGTGTAGCAAGTATGCACTACACATTCATCTCTGGATGCACAGCGTCGCCTCTGACTTCTCATCTTAGCAGGGACAGATGCAAGAAATCTGATGTGAATGTATTTGCTAGTACAAACAGCACAGACCAAAAGCAGACTCAGTTAATGTCAACTGAGTTCTAAAATATACTGGAAATGGGAATTACGTGTATGAACATCTGGCTGATGTAAATGGACCCCACACATGCTGACCGCACCAACATGGGACAATGTCTTCAGACATGTACGTTAACAAAATACTACAGAAAAGATTATCAAAAGTTACATTTAACAATGTATTTGAAGCTAAAAAGTAAGAGAATAGCTTATATAAGTCTCATTCATTTCTCAGATATACAAAGTTTGATTCTGTATGTACAACAATAATGTTATCTATTCTGTTTTGTTCTTATTTCCTACTCTGGAAATGTATTAATATAGTTTCTCTTCAATATCTCTATTTCTATTTAGCTAAATAATTCCTATAATTTTACCTTTAATGATTTTTACAAATACACTTCTTGAAGTTTAAAAGCATTCCATTAAATCTACTGGTTATTATAAGATATGCTCCTCAACTTTTGACACTAATAAAATATCTTAGAAATATTGATTCCTTCTTCTGTAATTGTTTTCAGAATGTTATATACACAAATGATCTTAATAAATACTTTCTGATAATAATCAGGAATGGTTCTAGTTCTCACTGAAGGGAGAAGGGCTGCCATGCCATCAGCGTGTCATTCGACCTGTGAGGCAGGGAGCTGCAGAACGGCAGGACCGGTTCCCTTGAATTACCAATTCTAACCCTTCTCAGTCTTTAGCATCCTCAGGGTGCATGTGACCTGGAGGCTTCCTCATCAACGCTCTTGAGAGTCATGAGAGTGTGTGAGACGGACATTATGTGGAGCAGCAGAGGAAGAAACAATAATGTGGACAGGACTGCACATCACAGGCTCTGCTGGCTCAGCTATGGAGGTAATACCTGACACCCCTGCTTAATCATGGGCATAATTAAATTTGTAGAAAGATCCACAAAGAACTTGAGATTTTGCTTCAACACAGAGTAGAATAGCCCATTTTGTGGCAGACTCCGCGTGGCTAGAAGTCTTTGGCCCCTTAGATTTTCTACTGTCTTGGGCAAAAGAAGTCCCTGTGATCTCCAAGTACGTCCCTCCCCTGGAGGGACCAGCACATGCCACTGAGTGGTTTATTTTGCCCTGAAGTCCTTAAATCACTTGTGTGTACACACACATGCACACGCGCATGCACATGAGTGTGTTGTTAGTAAGCTTTCCATGATCTGAACAAAAGGTTGAACGCTGCCAATTCTCTTCTTACTTCATTTTTCCACAGGAATAAAGTATTTTAATTCTCCTTCTTTCATCGAGTTTCATTATTTTGCCACTGCTTTCTTCCCCCACCCCCCCCAATTTCATACTTACAGAAATTCCCAGATACTCTAGGAACTTATCTTTGTGCCAAATGAGAAATTACTGAAATGTCACACACTCCAGAGTTACGTGTGGGTTACACTGAGCCTTGACGCACATGAGATATGCAACCTTTTATAGCTTGGATGAATTTAACTCTCCAGGCTATAATCCTCCAGTATTCCAAGTGTAAACTCACAAAGAGAGAATCGAATGCAATGATTAGTTTGTTCAGAAACATGTTTCTCCTAGTAAGATTCTGGTGCTTCCGTGGAAGTGAGCAAAGTCAGAGGATATGGGCCCTTGCAAGGGGCAGAAGTGGTGCTGGACAGCTCAGGTTAGGTGCCAGACAGAACTGGCAGGGCTGCAGCTGCTGTTCGCAGTTCCAACACACTGAAGAAGAAATTTTATTATCTGAAAATGTTTAATGGTGATACATTTCTGTTCAATGTTTAACTTACTGTGATTTCAAGTGGAGGTTAACTCACATGAACCAGGGTACATGTTCCTGAAAATGAGCTCATCTGACCTGTGGGGGAGCGTTTAATTCATTCACTGCATTCTCCTGTTTCCTAATGTGGATTTTTTGAGATATGAGGTTTTCCTACAGTGGTTCATCCATGGCTGGGAAGGTCCTTGCCCACATCTCATGTCCTGTCATCCATGACAGCACAGCACGTAGCAGCCCCCAGTGGGGCTGAGAGCCATCCCGCTCATGTTGCTACATAACAGAGAGACCATACTGAACCATACTCAGCATAAATAATTTCCTTTATAAGAAACATTCATAATCAAACTGTTTAAAACTGTTAATGCACAGCTGAAAATGGATCAGAAAAGATCTGGGAGTCCTACCTCCCTCCACACCAGATGAGGACCTGCCAGGTGTATGAGCCGCAGGCACTGGCCGGGTGGAGGTAGGACTCGGGAACCAGCTACCCAGTACACACAGCCTCTGTCCCCGAGCACACATTGACTCTTGTCTTCTAAAAATTCTTTCTCCATCTCCTTTTCCACACTATCTTCCATCGTCTCAGGGCAATGCCTCCTAACTGTCTTCTTTCCCTAATGCAGAGGACCTGCCTTGCTATGGGACAAAACAGTGTGCAGTACCTGGGATACCTATGGCAGAAACAGCATAAAGTGGTCATGGTCACAGCTCCCTCGCTTCCTTAAGTGATTCCCAGAATGATGGCAGCTCTGCTTTAAAATCCCCTGTATGAGGAGGGAGGGGGGGTTTCGGTAATGAGACACAATAATCAACCTCATTGTATATCGACAAAATAAAATTTAAAAATAAAAAAATTTTTAAAAAAATCTAATTTTGTTTTTTAATTATGTAAACCATTTATATGGTTCCAAAATAAAAAAGGCACATTCAAAAAAAAAATAATAAAATAAAATCCCCTGTATTGTTTGCCAGCACTATGAAAATTTAATTTGGAGCACGTTTTAGCATAAGTGGGAAGAAAACTTGTAAGCGGATATGGCTGTGTTTCCCTAATGAACAAGAACATGTTCCTTTATGAACACAGAGCCCCTGAAGTTCCAACTGAGGGGAGACTTGGGGTGCTGGGAAGCGGAGAAGCACCCCAGGAGTCCGAGGGGCTCTGCACATGCCTGTTGGATGCATTCGAGAGCCACACACAGAGCACAATGTGTGAACGAACGGGCGCTTTCAGTGGTCACTCAGAGGACACAGATACCGAGCACTCACCTATATGCGTCTGGGCCATGACATCGGCCAGCCGGTGGGCGGCCCCGCTGCCCCCGCTCTGTGTGGAGGAGGAAGAGGTGGTAGATGTGGTGGAGCCATGGATGGCCTGGCTGATCCAGTGCTCCATGTTGATGCTGCCCTGGCTGGAGGTGGGCGTTCCCTGGGAGTCGCCCTGCACCGAGCCTTCGTCCTCTGAGCCGGAAGAGGTGTCTGTGTGCAGAGAGAGATGTGATTTGCTACCCACTGCAGCAAAGCAACATGCCCGATCTCAGTCCCCTTCAAACACTGCATACACAGACCTACAGCACACAAAACTGTTCAATGACTGCTCGAAACACCCAAAAAAGTTATACCACTTTTCAGATAATGATTCATTTTTTTTCTAGCATAATGATTTTTTTTATCTAAAACGTCTTAAGCAAATATGCTATGGAAATGTTTATTTTGACATTGTAATCTTGGACAAAGGCACACTCAACAATTTCCTCCACACAACAGTTTGGGAAGAAACTAAGTTTTCTCTGCACACCTTCACCAGGTGAAAGGATAAGGCAGCACATGTGCGAGTTTCGCGTGTTCAAAAGGTGTTCACGTTTAGCCCTCGTTAGCCCTGAGGTGCTTTTCTGAGCTATACTGTCAAGTGTTGCTTGACCAGGGGGATGTGTTCTAATAAATGCATCATTACGCAATTCTCTTGTGGTGTGGACATCACAGAGTGCACTTAATGCAAACCTAACTGGTTCAGCCAACTACACACCAGTCTATGTGTACAGTCACTATAATCTTATTGGACTACCGTAATATATGCAGTCAGTTGTTGGCCGAAATTTCATTACACGGTGCATGATATCTATATGCCTCTTCAAATACTGAGATATTGATGAAAGATTGGGATAGAAGGAAGAACACACCTTACAGTGAATGGCCTCCCCTTCCACCCGCCCCCTCCCACTCTTGCATCTCTGCCGTGTCCTCTGGTGTGTACCTACCTCACAGTGCATTTTATGCTCAAACTATATCTATTTGTTTTTATAGTGCTCATTGCTTATAAGTTTTTCTCATTATTTAGTTGATTTATTGTTCTATCTATGAAAATTGGGTATCTTAGGTTGACATAAAATATAAACTTTTTTCATTGAAATTAATGGAAATAGTTTTCATTTAATAATTTTGCACATAGCAGCAAGTGTTTTAAGAATGAATTGTTGGTGCATTTCTTATTCAAACCTAGATGTACGAATGACAGTCAGGATCCTCCCTACAGGTGAGTTGTGTGAGATGCTGGGAGGGAAGGAGACACCTAAGCAGATCTAGAACACTTAGTGAGGATAAGAGCAATGACAATTTGTCTTAAATCATAGGACTTTTTTTTTTTTGTCTTTTTTCGTGTCCGGCAACGGATCGCAACACTCAGTGTCGCGCCCG